CAATACTTCGGCATTAAGTGGTGCCGGAGTTAAGCGTCTATTGAGTCGAATGGGAGACACTGTCAACAAAATCACATTCCGAATGGACGAATCAGATCCGGTTTGTTGTCTTTGTTTATCAATTTATGTCATTTTTATAACATATTGCTATTAATTACACGCTTACCGATAGTCCTATATATCTAATGCTTATGCATTGCAGGTAACCGATGATTAATCTAACCTTTTGTATACTTTATTAGCTGTAAATAGTGTTTGAATTAATGATAAATAATTGGTTTAAATTAATTTTAGTGGTTTGAAGAGAAGCAGAATCAGATCGAAAGTCTTGACCAACAGTTGAAAAAACTTTACACCAGTGTTGAGGCGCTTATACATCATAGACGGGAATTGACTCAAACGACCGGCGCTTTCGCTAAAAGCGCTGCAATGCTTGGCAACTGTGAAGAGCATACGTCCCTCTCATGCGCTCTCTCGCAGTTGGCGGAGACCGAGGAGAAGATGGAACAGTTGTATAGCAAACAAGTGGACAACGATTTCTTCTATTTGGCAGAACTGCTCAAAGATTACATCGCATTGATTGGTGCCGTGAAAGAGGCGTTTCACCAGAGAGTGAAAGTATTCCAGATGTGGCAACACTCGCAACAGATGCTCACTAAGAAACGGGAAGCGAAGGCCAAACTCGAATTGGCGCTCAAAACGGACAAAATATCTCAAGCGAACGATGAAGTGATTGAGGTTTGAATTGAGTCTTATTTACCAAAAAGATTGACAACTATTTGTAATTGTAATGAATTGTATATCTGTTTGTTTAGTGGGAATCAAAGGTGAGCAGAGGTCAGGAGGAGTTTGAGAGCGTGTCGAAGACTATACGCCTGGAAGTGGAACGCTTTGAATTGTTACGGATTCGCGACTTCAAGACTAATATCATTAAATATATGGAATCATTGCTCGAAAGCCAACAGCAACTCATCAAATACTGGGAGGCATTCCTTCCTGAGGCGA